AATTAAAAAAAAGTTTTCAGCAAGGACACATTAAACTGAGCAAAAGTTACAGTAGGGGCATTTATAATTTTACAAGATTTCTATTTCAAATAAATGATAAATTCTGTTCTTTTAATTTATCAAAGAATGTTGAAAAAAAATTATATATATATATATATATATATATAATTTTTTTTCAACATTCTTTGATAAATTAAAAGAACAGAATTTATCATTTATTTGAAATAGAAATCTTGTAAAATTATAAATGCCCCTACTGTAACTTTTGCTCAGTTTAATGTGTCCTTGCTGAAAACTTTTTTTAATTTTTATTTTTTTATCTTACTGACCCCAAACTTTTGAACAGTATATATAAATACACACACACACATGATATGTATAATATATTTTAAAAATATATATTTATAGAATATATTTAGCATTAACTTGATTTATGGGTTTTAGGGGCTGATAGTGTTTTGTACCCAGCAGCAGGCTCTTGCGTTGGAGCTGGGCTTTCAGATCTTTTGAGATGTTCCTAAGAACCTTCATAAGCTTATGGATCCTTTCTTCATTCATTTTTATCTCCTCTTCAGCTGGGTCCAGTTTCTTACGACAGCTAGTCAATCTAGTTAAAGATACATCGGAATTAAACTTACAGCATGTTAGCTATCGAACAGAACATGGAAAGGCATGTTGTTTTGAAAATAATTAAGTTATCTATAAGTATTTGTATTAAGGACCTATCACAGAATCCACTATTCATGAAATAGAAAAATATGGCCTTACGTAAAATCCTCAGGAAACAGCTGAAAGCAGAGAACATGCAGAAGAGAATATATGTGATCCATACATTTTGTCAACAGAATTATTACAACGACATGAAATGCATGTTTCATCCTTGATGGTTACCTGCTTCATGGATTCTGCTGGGCTCTGTTGAGCTGACTGAATAGCGCTGATGTGTTTCTGCAGGAGACTGAGGTGTTGATTCCAGTCTTGAAGAATTCGGTTTAGTTTACTGCTGAGAAGAGTAGACTGTTCCTCCAGTTTACCTTGATAACCTTTGCTTTTTTTGTACAAGACATATGCCTATATATTATATGCTTGCACTATTAATAACTGTTAATGCTCATAAAGATTGTCCTGTATCTAAGAAATATAATATACATTACCGTTCAAAATTTGTGTCTTTTAAAGAAATGAACACTGTTATTCAGTAAAGACTTATTAAATAGATCAAAAGTGTCAGTAATGTTCTAAACCAATGTTACAAAAGATTTCTGCTTGAAATAAATATCGTTTATTAACTTTATTGTTTTTATTATTGCTAATAATAATTAAAAACTGAGATCGCATATTTCCATATGATGATGGCCTTTGTCTTTGGGTGAAAAAAAGCGGAAGGCTGGGTAGAGAGGCTCAGTAAACTGATGATGTGCTCTTTCAAACACAGCCGTTTGCACTGCTGAAAACTCTTGTAGCGTTCTCATAGTCTCAGCATCATAAAACACCAGACGGCCCTTCTGATACTTTACAAACACCCCTACTCTGTTTGGTGCTGCCCGAGCTGCTGTGACGGGTAGTGCCACATGTCGATCGTTGTGCCAGGCCATGAGATGCCCATTCTGAAACTCAAGACTCCACGAGCACCTGTTCCTTCCAAGCTTGGCACCTTTGTCCCGTCCTCTCCTCTGTAGGCTGCCATAAGCCACACCCACAGCCCATGATGGACAGCAGTGCACATCTACTTCCCAGTAGTGCTGCCCAGATGTAACGGCAACAGAGCCCAAGGCACAGTATAACTGATCAAACCTTAGAGGCTCATTGGGAATGCAGCGATCCTCTGAGGAAAGGCACAGGCCCCGTCCTTCTGAGGTCAACTTGATCTGTTTGTGACAGGTCTGTTTGTCAATCGCCACATTAAAGGAGTCTGTCAAGATGAAATGCAAGAATATTCAGAAACTTCCGATTTACTTACAGCATATTCTGAACATTTCTTGTTGTCCATTAGCTAATCCTTTCAATACAGTATGATATATGGAATATATAATACAGTCTAAAAAATTATGCAAACACCATAAATTATTCTTTTTTTTTTTAATTATAGTATGCAGGATATACACTACCGTTCAACAGTTTGAGATCAGTATGTTTTTTTTTTTTAAAGAACTTATTAAATTATTACAATTTAAAATAACCATTTTAATAGATTTGAAAATGTATTTTATTCCTGTGATGGAAAGCTGAATTTTCTTAATTATATAAAAATATTAAATATTTCTTAATTGTTAACAATTCTGGGGGAATCTCAAAGAATGTTGAAAAAAAATTTATCTATAAGTATTTGTATTAAGGACCTATCACAGAATCCACTATTCATGAAATAGAAAAATATGGCCTTACGTAAAATCCTCAGGAAACAGCTGAAAGCAGAGAACATGCAGAAGAGAATATATGTGATCCATACATTTTGTCAACAGAATTATTACAACGACATGAAATGCATGTTTCATCCTTGATGGTTACCTGCTTCATGGATTCTGCTGGGCTCTGTTGAGCTGACTGAATAGCGCTGATGTGTTTCTGCAGGAGACTGAGGTGTTGATTCCAGTCTTGAAGAATTCGGTTTAGTTTACTGCTGGTCTCCCGGCGGTCTTGCTCTATCATGTCCAGAACAGCCTTCTCATCCTCCTGCAGAGCCATATGTAGCTCCTCAAAGCACTCCTGTACCTGCTGCTTCATCGCTTCTGAACTCGTCTTCAGCAGAGGTGTATGATTCATTAGTTATTTAACATTTATAATAGTTAGCTGTCAGGCAGACATTCAGTATACTTTCCTGGTCTTATTTGGAATGAATTATCAGAGACTGTTATTCAAAAGATACATTTTTTTCCTGCTTCTGATCAAGCCATCCATGCCGACCACCAGTCATATAGATCACTTTTCACCATCAAATCAAATTCCCAACAGGGTTTTGCTTACATTCAGGTTTGCTTGCCGCTTTTTAATTGATTCCTGATGGGACTCTGTTCTTTTCCTCTCCTTCTTCAAGTCATCCAACCAGACTGGCAGCTGTTTACACAATATTTTTGAGTTATTTATTAATTACTGCACACTACCACTCAAAGGTTTGGGGTCAGTAAGATTTTTTTGTATATA